CGCCGCCGTCGCATCGCGCTCGCTTGCTCGTTATAGTATCGTGCGGCACGCACGCAGGTAAGATCGCCGAAGTCTGAAAGCAACCTACGACAGTGATTGCGTCGAGGGGTGATGGGGCAGTTTTGACGCATACAACTCTTTTCATTGAAATTAAAGTTAGTGTCTTGGGTAAAATTGCCCCTTGAACCACTCTTTGCTTCTACATGGTGTTCAAAATAAGTAAAAGTCGTGTTGAAGATAATGAAGTGAAAAAGGATTAGTTGTTTTTGCATAATATTGATAGAAGCTTTTTTGCGCAATAGTAAGATTGTCTCTAGCAAAGGAATCCGAGCATGCATTTGGGTAGTGGATTCATTGTGGATCTTACGTCACGGTCCTATATGTGGATAAAGTTCGACATGTGGGTTGAAGTAACAATCACCTGGTTGTCTGTAAACATTTCAGATTTCATCGAAGTCTAATCAGGTCGTAGATTGGGGGGTGCGCTATAATTTTAAGTAACATGGCCGTGCATTCACAGCATACGGCAGTGCGGGCCCTCCCGAATTCTTCCGTGTCCCACATAACCTGCGTAATCGCGTCGAGATCTGTTGGCGACTTCGATTTAATCGCGATCGGCTCATTATAGTTCACCATTCTGTTAGGTTAGTGGCATATACTTCCCAGTACAGTCATGTTTGAACCTGTTTCCAGTAGCGCAAATACAAGTTTAGTCGCAATCAATCGGTCATGACCTATTTCGGGACCTTTTGGGCATACGGGAGGGGGCTCCCATTGTTGTCAATCGATCCTTTCGATATCAAGTCCGAGCCTGTTTGTATGACCTCCTTTCCTGATGCTGCTTCTTTATCCTTCACCAATCTCGTGACTTATTCCACCATTTTCGCAATATGCTTTGCAAAGGGGTGAACTTTCAGAGATGATCTCATTATGGACCATCACGACCACCTTTCGATTTCAATTGAGAACCTAATTCGGAAAATCGTGCCAAATTCAATGACCCTGTCAAATGTGTGTTTGGCTGAATGCGGAAGTTTTGCTTTATCAATATCACTATGACGGTTGCAGTAAGTTCTTTGGCAGTCTGAAAATGTGGCTTCAGTTTTAGGACGGTCAATGATCTAGAACGTTTCATATCGATGGAAAAGAATTTAAAAAACTGGTAAATGATGAATAAATCATCAAATGCCATTACGTTGCCTTAAAAGTGATACTGCTTAGCAATTCAATGGGCTAATGTGGAACGTATGAGGAATTGATCAGCACGGAATTGAGCATACGCTTATATCCGTATTAAAGAAATCCCGAAAAATAATGGTGAACAGCGCTTCTCGTTTAGAACTCCTGTTTGGAACTACAAGTAGGTTTTCTATCAGTGGCATTCTGATGTCTTCCCCCTTTCTCAACTCCTTGTCTAGAACCGTGTTTTCAATTTGAGTTAGGCCTGCCGTAGCGGAATTTCGGTCATACCTAAGGGTGCTCATATTGAGAGCCCTTGGTCTCCCTTT